CCCCACACGGGGAAGGCAGGACCCCCCCCCCCCCCCCCAGCCTGTGTCAGGATTAACACACCCCTGACAGGCTGCGGACAAAGCCTCTTTAGGGACAGAAGAAAGGAAAGAACAAAAACATCCAAAAAAAAAAAAATCAATCAATCACTCCCCCCACCCCTGCCACCCTGCGCTCCCAAGCAGCACCAGGCAGCACATCCATCCCGGGCAAAGACTCCTACTGTCATCTGTCTGATGCTGACACTGTTCATCACTCGATCCCATTTGGAAGCAAAAGTTTTCGTCACAGGGGCCAGAAAGCAAATCACAGGAATAAGAAGAGCCATGCACCATTCAAGCAACGGCTGGAAAAGAAGCTGATGTTTCCACCACCAGCTCCATCCCAGCCTGGTTTCCTTTGCCTCCCTCCTCTCCCCCTTGCAGCAGTTCAAGACCAGAGTTTTCTCCCTTGGGTGCCTGAGAAACCCCGCACAGCACCCCGACAAGAGCGCGAACGCTTTGCTCCCCCATCCTCCTCTTCATGTTGGCCTGCACTCACCCGTGCTCTCTAGTGGTCCCCAGCAGCTGCAGGACCCCCAGCCCCGCTGCAACTTCCCAGGCATGGACTGACCTGTCCTGGCTGGGAGCTGGTGCCTTGCCGGCGCCCGTGCCCGTGCCCAGGCAGCTCCATCTCCTCCGCTGGACCGCGGGCAAAGAGCGGCCGGCGGCAGCGACCGGCCAGGGGCTGAGGATGCTGCAGCCTCCGCGCACCTTTCCCCGCCGGCCTCGGGCGCTCGCGGTCCGGCGAAGCAGCAGCAGCAGCCGGTTCGAGTCCCGCCCGTGCCAATTTGGGGTGTTGTTTTTTTGGGGAGGGGGGGCTGTTTTCCCTTCTCTCCCCCCAGCGAGGCGGCGGCTCTCTGCTGCCCCTCTGCCTCTCCCCCGCCGCTTTTGATCTTCCCCGGGACGTGAGCTGCAAGCCGATGGGCCGCCCCGGCCACAAAGACGAGGAGAGAAGAGGGAGGGGATAAAAATCATCCTGAATTCCCTTCTCCTCCCCCAGCTGCAGCATGCAAACCACCCCCCCAAAAAAATGCATCTCCCCAGCTGGGGCAGGGACCCCCCTCCCCGGATCTCAAGTTGCCAAAGTTTGCAAGCGCCCCCCGCGCCCCACTCACCGCCGCCCGGCGCTTCCCCGCCGCCGGCT